GTCTTGCCTGGGGACAAAGGAACAATATTCAAAGGGAGATGAGGAGGTGGATACAGAGACGGGGTGTTTGATTTTCTATGTTGAATTATACATTAGCCAAAGTCTCTCAGACCAGACATTTCAGAAAGACAAATGAGTCCAATATCCATAGCAATTACAGGCACGTCATAGTCAGTGGGACTACAGAGACGCCCTATGTGCTCTGAGTGGAAACTAGTTAGTCACACTGACACTCTCGCTAGATCCAACATATATGACAGAAAGTCCAAGCACGCTTCTTAAAATTCCACGTGTTTGCTCTGCTGCCACATATGATGAGGACAGGCAGGTACTTTGGTCAACACAATGCTTACAGGAAAAAGAGATAACACAGGAACAACCAGCCTGACTTGAATACAAATAGAGGTAAAACACAGACAAAACAAATCAGTGGTTATAGTCTAAGTGAGTGTGACAGCACAGACCTGACTGGATATGTTTAAACTGCTTTCAGATGGTAAAACACATTATCAGAACGTAATCTCGGAATATGCTAGCATCAGAGTGCCTGTAAGCTCACGTTACTTGACAACTTATCGAATGAGAATGCAAATCAAAAAGTACAACAAACTCGAAAACTCTGTAGCGAACAGACAAGGTTAAAAAAAAAAAACCTGTGTGGTCTCAGGGTATCTTCTAACAGAAATATGTCATACAGAGATACTGCTCCACGCTCGAGGCTAAAAAAACTTAATGCACTACTTAAGACACAATGAGTGTGGGTGATGGGACACTATATAGCTTCCTTTTTAGTGTTATGCCATGTGTGCGGTGGTGCTCTTGGGGATGTGTCTGATCAAATCTGCACGATGAGAAGAGGAAGTGTTGGCACGAAGGACAGGAAGCGAGATACGAACATCAGTTCTGCTAACGGCTTTAAATCCCCCGAGGGCTTAAAAAAGCGCAAGTTCTCACATAAATGGTTTTGAGAATGAGAAGAACATGAAGAAGAATAATTAGTTTTATGATGTGATCTTCTTGATTATGGGAAGCGATTCCCACTGAGAGATTATGGGCATGTCTTGCACTTTTCATCATGCTCATAAAGAGAGGGACAGCCTGGATGATAACCCTGCAATCGTTGCAGCTATTTTACTATTGACTGGCATTGATGTTGCCCTCTAGAGGATAAAAGGACAAAGAACAAGCCGTTAAAACAATGGTTAAAGAAAGACAAGGGCAAAATGAAACACAACACAGAGTTCAGTTTAATGTAGGATCCTAAGATGTGTTTAAAAATGTAAAATTAAAGAAAGACGTAATTTATGGGACGAGAAAAGCACACATGTGCATGGTGATGATAAAGAGCAAAGTTAATGAGACAAAAAGTACCAAAAGAAAAAAAGTGTTTGAAAAGCTAAAGAGAAAGTGAACTGAGGCAGAAAAAACAGCTCCATATGTTTGAAAGGTGGGAACTAGAGTCAACCCTAAAAGGTGTTGAAGTGGTAAAAAAACCTGAGAGAAATCTAATTTATTTCCACAGTATAAAGACACACACAATATACTTTAACAGCTGGCTCCAGGTCGCACGGACCACTACTGATTTATATTGAGGAGGGAAGGCGCAAGGCAGCTGTTGAGGGGCCTGCGTGTGCACGCGTTGCACCCATGAGTCTGCGGCGGTAGACGTGTGTGTGCAAGTGTGTGCACGCATGGGTGTGCGTATGAACTGGTGGGCAGTTTGAGACTTGGCCTGGCAGGGGTGATAAAACGGGGGTCGTTAAAATCCTGCATTTAAATCCCACACCCCTGCCTCTCCATTAACTTGCCATCACTAATTAAGGCATGACTTTCTTCTCTTCTTCCTCTCACTCTCCCTCCTCCTCCTCCTCCTCTCAATCATGCCCTTTAATTGCCGACACTTTCCTTCATTCTGTCACAAGGCTAGCAAGAGACATTTTCCATTAGGCCAGTGGAAAGGCCCCGTCTTTCACTGAGAAAGATCCAGATGGCGTATATGAGAAACTTAATGAAACTACCTGCTCACTAAATCTTCTTTCATCTCACGTAATCCATTAAAAAACAAAACAAACAGTCATCACTCTAAAGAGAGTTTATGTGAAGTTAACTGAGGCAAAACACTGAGGTAGAGGGCAGACTGTAGTGGAAAAGGTTCGGTCAGAGTGCAGGTCTGGTAACTTGCCCGCTCGTCCTAACAACTCCACAGTCTCCTCATTCACTGGCCTGCTGTCCGTACATACAAATACACTTGTTTCCATCCCCTTAGGGAAAGCACGGCGTATTCCGAACCTGTTTTTTCCCGTCTCTAATGCTGTTTATGTTCCGCCTTCCTGTGGCCATTCTCCCTAATTCCTTCACACAATGGAAAAGAAAGGGGCCAACACGGTGAGAACAAGGCTTCTCTTTCCTATTTTTTTTTTTGCCAAAAGGTAACTTTCGGACTGATATCTTATGTTTACTCCCCTCTCGTTTCTTTATAACAAACAAATACATTCCCAAAGGAACAGCCCACCTTTGACCATACAATCATAGCTTGGCACTGAACACAGAAGAAAGAGCTGTGAATCCACACTATCTGCTCTTTAACAAATGAGTGCCTGGGTTTCTGCGGATTTATGTGAGCCCTGGGCTTATGCTGTTGTGGGCTGGTCACGGTAAATCTGCTATTTTTGTCAAGGTGTGAAATGTATTCCGCTGTTAAATCACACACAGGGGCCTTACTAAGATAGCGTACCATACACACCACACACACACACACACATTCCTGCTCACAATCTTGATTTGCTGCATGACTTTTATACACTTCATTAAATTGTTTCTACCAGTACAAACCCACTTTGATGGCCTCATGGGTAGTTGGCTGAGGTGGGGGAGGTGGAGACAGAGAGAAAGAGACAGAGAGAGAGATGGATATCCACATGACCTTGATTTGCTCGTACACATGATCACACGAACAGTTTTCTGGATGACTCGCGGAGTCTGTGGGGAAGTTGATGATTTGAATGAAAAGAATAGCACGAGGTAGCGAGAGCAGAAATACTTCATATAAAAGCCTCCAGAACAAACTCTGTATATATTCTCCTCCACACTCCTGCCCCATTTCTTCCCTCCTCCTTATTCCCTCTCCTCTCCTCCTTTTTGGCGGCTGTGTGAATTCAACCTTTGTCCTTAGATGAAGCCGGTGAGCTCTGATTAAGAGACCAAGACCTTCAGTCTGAAGGCCATAAATCTTACCTGCAAGTGCAACAGAGTTGTGTTATCCTTTTTTTTTTTTAGCATTTCCTCCCTTTTCCTCTATTTGGAATGGGCAATTCTCCATGCTAGCTTTCGTTGTCCTCCTATGGAGGTTTTAGACAGCTAAATATCTCCTTTAATACATATGGAGAAAAAAAGAAACAACATACTCATGTGTTTCTAAAACTGCTTTAATCCACATTTGTATATTCACAATGGAAATAATTCATGACAAGAATTACCACTAAGTTTAAAGTTCCCCTCAGAACTATGGAGCATTTTACTATCTTTCAGTTTATTGTTTTGGTCTTGTGGCGCACAATTTTACTTTTGTCACTCTAATCAACCCTGTTTTCAGCCCTACAAGGGAGCCATTTCTTGGCCAAAAATCTCTGATTACCTCCTGTACACCACCAGCCCCGCATGAATTTTAATGTCGCTCCACATCTGCTGTATATGTAAATAGGCAACTGCTTGCTAACAGGTTAGCCATATCAACTTCCTACTGTGATAATATGTCAGTTAACGCAGATTTAAGGCTTACCCCCCCCCCCCATTCCCTCTGCCCTGCACACAGATGCTCAACCAACCAGCAGGACTCATTAGTCCGACATCAAGGACATAATAACAGTGTATCCTCTCAGCTTTTATTGCATCATATCTCACCAACTCAGTCTGTTTGTCCTATCCAGAGGCTCTCCACATAAAGGGGAAGGTATTTGTTTACCACTGGGATCTGGCTGTCATGGGCTGTAATTTATTAGTCACACTTGCACATCATCAGCAGAATATTCATAACACACCCACATCAACAACCCACAACGCAGCAACTGTATAGCACTTGGGGGACCTACCACTAACGGGACATTTCATACCGCCCGTGTGAAACTTCAGAGAAACCATTGCCATGGGTACTTTCCACCTGACTGTGCCAATTTACCGATATTAAAATAGACTAGAGGTGCCAAGTGTCAGTGTGGCGTGGTTGTAAAGTAGCTGGTTTTCTCATACATCCAAATGCAGAGAGTCCTCAGCCTGCATCTCATTTCTCATCGAGTTCATGTATGATCATCCTGGCACCACGCAGCTATCGAGTTCAGCATGGAGCTTCTGCATCCGCCTGTCAAACCCTCTCTTGAAACCGGCATCCAGAAGCAGCCGATCTGAGCTGAACACAACAGACTGGATGTTGGAGAGACTAGAGAAACATAGAAAAGACTATGGCGGAAAAGCTGAGAAATGTAGCCACGGATAAGGAGGGGTAAAGTGATGAGCTGGGCTTGTAAAAACATGGTGAAAAATATATGACAGGAGATTACATGTATAAGACCCAGGAATAAACTAACAATAACTAACAGGAAGACAGAAATATGAGTAGAGAAAATGAGCCAGAGGCAGAGACAGAGGTTTTGGGGGGATCAAGACAGAATGAGAAAGAAGTAAAAAATCATTAACCTTGAGGGTGCAAAAAATGACAATGAAGTTCTGTGCTCCAGCATCACTACTGCTGCTCTGCTGATGATGATGGTCACCATGATGACAATAACCCGGGGCTTATTAACAGATTCATTCAATACACACACCAGCGATCTCTTTTTTTATCATTTGCCCTCCCACTCAAAGTACATGCTCCCACAAGGCGTGTGGTCTCTCGTACAAAACTTCATCTCGAAATTAAGCCCCACTCATCTCCGCGCTTTCGCCTGAGGTGCATTATACCACTGCTGAGAGAGAAAGTGGTGCAGAGGAGTGAACAGTCCACTTACCCCAACCTCCACGTGATCCGAGCCCTTGTCATCCTGCTTGTGGAGGATCTCGAAGTAGTATCGTCTGGATGAGATCAGGCTGAAAGGAAACAAAGAGATAGTTATTGTTAGATATTGACACTGATGGAAAAAAAAGAATCTTTCTACAATAAGCCACTGCAGCTCCTTCTTCCTTAGGCTCTTTCTCAGTGACCAACACTTATGAGAACATACCAACAGTTACTGTGTGGAGCCCTCAAGAAATACAACAGTGTGCAATTTTTGGTCATAAAAAAACTTAAGGAATATCAGGATTTAATGAGACTGCAGTGGATTGAGGCAAACTGTTTGACTTAAAAAGCAAAAAATAGTTGTAAAACATATGTCAGTTGAACCTGGGCATAAACTGGTTAATCAGCTTAAAATATAACTCAGTGCTACAGGCAAGATGGCAAAAGAGCCAGCAGTGAGCCAGGATATTATCAGCCTCTGGTCCTGAATAAAACACTCCTTTTGAGACTGGGAGGAAGAAAAATCGATGCTCCACATAAATCAACATTTTTCACTTATACAAGCTCCACTATTTCTCGGGAACTCCTGGTTAGATGGAGTAAAGGTTCCCCACACTGATGAAATACACACACTGAGCGACAATGCTTTATTCTTATCAAAAACACATCCTGGATAATAAGGCAGCATCTGCTGCTGAATGAGAGACGCCCGAGCACTGCCCACACATCAGCTCTCAAAACACAGACATGCAGTCATCGAACAAACACACCCACATTGTGTGGCACCAAATAAAACCATTTTTTGTGTGTATACATGTACGGTACACATTACCAGTGTGTAAAGGCACAATTTGTTAAAGCAAGAATCTTTAATAGAAAAGCTGTTCTTATGTGGATAAAATGCTACTGTACCCTGGAAAATCCATCTCCTATAAATAATATCATGTTAATTCTGCAGCCTGGTAACGTGTAACAGTAACTAATGCTACTTTAGAGTCATTTGACTGCTCCATATTCATGTGCTCCGATCCATTATAGTATGTGATGGTTTTCTTTTTCTCTGTTCATTTTCTGTCTTTGCTTCCGTTTCCTGTGCCTTGTTTCTCTGTGATGTTCCCCTGCCTCTCTCCTGTCTCCTGTTTGTCTCCTGAAACAAACACAAACTCATCTTCTTTTGTTGAAATCTGTGTTTTGAATAGAAAATAGTCCCACAAAAACAGAAGATAATACGGAAGAAAGACATGCAAAGCAAGTCAACAGGAATACTTCTATTACCTGATGAATATCTTTGTTCTAGAAAATACGTGCAAGTGCATCTTTAAAATGTTTTAGTCTATATAATGCTATATAATCTATAGTCTATATAATCTTAAAGCTGCTTGTTTTGTCCAACCAACAGTGGAAAACCCAAAGAGAATGAATGATTGTTGCTGATTATTTTTTTGTCACTGAACTGATTGCTTAATGCACCAAGTAAGCACTACCAGACATTAATGCCTGGCCTTTCATGGTAAAGATTGCCAAATTCCAGTTAGGGGTGCAGACTTCCATTGCGGTGTATTTGTGAGTTTTTGTTGCGGATGTGGTTGACTTGAGTTGAAAGGGAAGGACACGGCCTGAAGGGGGACGGTCACGTGTTGCCCCCGCGCAAAAAAAATCATCCAGCTGCCCAGCGTTCTGTAACCAATAAATCACTGCAGGTGCAAGGGAGCAGTGACAGTGTGCTAAGGTCACTCTCTCATGAATAGGGAACATATCTCTGTGCAGCTGCTGAAACGGCACTCGGCAAACTTAAGTGGTACTTTCAGCTCGTGGCATCCCGCTTGCCCTTTCCCAAAATGATTCAAACCTAACGCCATCTCTAACCCCAGACTCTGAGCTGAGCCACACTTAAAGAAAGAAAATAATATCTGATTTTACATTCACTTCAGTCATTAGATTAGATTAGTTCAGATGAAACTTTAATGAACGTAATGATAATGTGGGGAAACTGAGTAATCAGAATTTTGTCAACCGGAGAACAGAGGGCAACATTATGTCTTTAATGAAGGATATGTATCACATGAAAATATTACTATAAGACAAAAAATAACTGGTTTTTAAAAAGAGGCAATTAAATATCGCTGTCCCAATCAGACAAAATAAAATTTTAGGTTGACATGTAACATCTCTCTTAACATCCTGAACTGAAACTGATATTTTTGGCAGTTTCAGCTTATCGAGTTCCTGTCCCTGAGCAGATGACGGTGGATGGTTTTAGGGAATATTAGTACATTTCCTGACCATTCATTAGGTTGTCTGTTTCAGACCATAATCTGACTCCATCTGGGGGATAATCTAATGTCGGAGCTGAGAGGACGCAGTCTGCCGCCACAGTGTTTCTGAGTCAAGCTGCCACTAAACCACAGACTGCACACTTCAAATAGATAACAGTCGCACAGATACGCACACAATACTCTCAAAATGCATCCTCGACATACTATTGTCTGTCAACATTTGAGGATGTCTTTTCTTCTAGCTCTCAGAAATTTAGAAACACACACAGAGAGCCTGGACTTCAGCGGTGAGAGATTGGCAGCTCGGCCAATAAAAACTTGTGTTTACCTGTTGTAAGATGCCAGATAAGACAATGCACACACACGCAGACACAAAAACAAACACACACACACACACACACACACACACACACACACACACACACACACACCACAGATAGCACACGTATCAACAGAGCAGAGTGAGATTGAAACAAACAAAAGGATCATAACACACGGAGATGGATAAACAGCTGAACATCAAGTCCTATTCACACACTTTTCTATTCTTCCATTTCTATTTCCTTTGGATTTTCACTTTGTGATTTGCCAGTTCAACAATTTCAGTTTTGGTCGTATGTAATTTAGTTCCACTGTTGAGGTGAGACAGTGTGAGTGAATGAGCCTGATACTTTTCCTTTAAAAAAAAAAAAAAAAAAAAAAAAACTTTGCATCATTTCTTTGTGTCTGTGTCTTGTTTTTGTTTTCAATTTGGCATGAACTAGACAGTTATTCTTTGGGAAAATAAAAGACATAAATTAATCATGATCGGTCCAAATATAGATATGGACAGATATGAGGAAGAGAGATGTGAAGGGGTATGTGAAATCTGAGGTGACTCTGTCCAAACGTCTTCTATGAAACTCTGGAGAGAAAGACGGAGGAAGAGAGAGACAAAACAAAGGAGCACAAAATAGGAAGGAAAGAGGTGTTTTGTTTTGCACTTGCATGAATGTGTGTGTGTGTGTGTGTGTGTGCGTGCGTGCGCGCAGACTGGTCACACCAGTCCTCTTGTGATGGATGACAAGGCGGGCTCTGGTTGAAAGAGATGAAGAGACAGAGAGACAGGCGGAAAGAAAGATGAAGGAGGAGCGATAAATAGCAAATGAACAGCAGAAACAGAGAGGGAATTATAAATGCTTTCTGTATCTTGAAAGGAAAAATACATTACAGTGAATATCACTGAGACATGATTTCATACAGAACGCCATGCCGGAGGAGGAGGGAGGAAAGAAAAAAAACCCATAAAGGAGCAAGTGAAGGGCAAATGAGAGCTGGAAGAGGAAAGAATAGCTATTAGTGTGTGACTCAGAGGATGAGTAGAGGACACAAAACAAGAGTCTAATTGCCTGACTAATTGGACTCTTTGTTTCCAGTTCCTCTTCTTTGGGCTGAACAGATAGAGACAGACAAAGGAGCTTGACTGGGCTGGATAACACAAGATGGGACTGTTGGAGCTAAACAATGTTGGGAGAGTATCATGGCTGCCCAAAGTCTGCTGGATCTGAAGTATGAAATATTTATTTGGCTTGAAAACGTATAGAGAGATATTTTTCCTGCTGAGAGACAAAGCCCCATTCACAGGCATCTCAAAGAAGAGATGGGGTTGTCTAAATAAATACACAAAAGCTTAGGTGCATAACACCCCGAAGATCGATCGACAGACAGGCTGACACACATTCTCTCACACACATACACACACACACACACACCCTCTATATGACTAACCTGGTTTGCAGTGAGCAGAGCTGAAGTGAAATCGAGACAGGATACTTTCTGCCCTTGGTAAATACAAGTCCATTCTCTCTTATTCATCCTTCATCACACTGTCTGTCTCCTATCTGCCCGCAGGCAACAGCAATTTCCTCATTCTACTTTCTTCCAGTATCTCCACTCTTCCTCCAACTCAATTTCTCATTAATGCTATCTGACTGTCAACCCCGTCCCCGTCTCTCTCTCCTTCTCTTGCCTTATTCCTCCCTCTCTAATACCCACAGGTGGCCTTTAAACAAAAGACTGCGCTCGGCGAGTGCTCTCCTCTCAATTACATTAATGATACCAGTGTTTAGAGCTGCCCCAAGGAGATGCACAAACTTCACTTTTCTCCCCTCGCAAACCTCTCCCCTCCTCACTCCATTTCTCATGCATTCCACTAATCCATCAGAGAGCTATCACGCTGCTCTTCCCTGCAGCCGCAATAAATCCTCTTTCTTCCATCGCCTCCCTCCGCTTCATCTCCCACCGCTCTCCTTCATCCACTGCTCTTTCTCCCTCTCTTCTCCTGTATCTTGTCCGTCGCTTCTCTGCAACGCTCCTCGCACTGTCTCTTCCCCCTCTATCCACCCTGTCCATTTCCTACATATGTAATTATCTAATATGGAGTTATAGCGTAAATACGTTAACTGTGCCTCCACTTCCCCCTTCTCCTCGCTTTGATATGGTGTTAACACTCCTACTGCTCTCTTAGTGGCCTGAATGCGTGGACATATGACGGAAAAAAAAAGAAAAAAAAAAAAAGAACATATTCAATATGAACAATAAACATACGCCCTTTTCATCACGCTCACATTGTATATCTTTATAGTGTCAACAAAAATGAACTGATCCTACTAACAAGTACTGCCTGTGTTGCCAAAGCCTCCATTGTCCAAAAACCTATGAGTGAGCCACAATGTTACACTGGTCGGAAAGTTCCTTTGTTACAACAAACATGGGAACTGTAGTTTACTTTGAGCCAATCCAACATGCAGTACACAGTCGTGGTGCCGTAAACA